GAAAATGCCTGTTTTATTTCACATCTTTGTTTTTGACCAACTAGCTCCTCTTATGCTAGACGTGTAAGATGTATGCTTTGTAGTCAAATATAATCCTTTTCCTCCCTGTGCTGGATTCATAGCAGGTGGTATTTCTGTTCTTCATTAAAAACACAGGAGTGAATTTTGTGGTGTCTGCTCAGTCCTCCAGTATTTTTTTTTTTTTTTTCCTTTTTGGGTGTTGTATACCCTAGATGTGTTTGCCTTGCCATGCTCTTGTGTTAGGTCTAAGTCGGTGAGTAGGCTTGTATACTGATTTTTTTCTTCATTAGCAACTGTAGGAGACTGTCCAAACTAGCTAAGCAGCTCCACTGGAATTTGCTCTTTCCTTGACACTCAATTGAATCAAGCTTGAGACAAGTCTCATAAAATCTGCAATATCGTGTTTGTTATGACAGGAAAAAAAGAGTGTTCTGCTTTACATTCTTCTAAAGTTTTTAAAGACCTTAACAATCTTCTGATCTGTTTAGATGATAAAGGTATGTTGATGGCAAGCAGAAAAAATTAGTCGGAGCTGGGGTTTTTTTGTGTGCACAGTGTTTCACTTCTGAGTTAGGAATGATTATTATGGCGTAAATAACTGTACAAGTTGATTTGCTTCACTGTAATCTGCATATTTGTATTAGAATATCAAGTATGTTTTGCAATATTTGCATTCCTGGAAGCTCCACACTGCTTGGTGATCCAGGACTGTGAAAATATGAAAGATTTATTGCAGGCAGTTTGAAAGAGCTGAGACTACTGATTGATCTTGCAGTGAGAGAAAGAACAAAGTAAAATTATTATTTCTGTAATTATTCTTTAGGAAAGTAAGAAAATAGTTAAATGCTATATTAGTTTATTCTACAGGGTTTTTCCCTAAAACTTTTAAATTATTCTTTGTGATAATACTGCCTTTCATTTCATCTGAAGGGTCTAAAAAGTGCATTGTGTAATGAGTTGTGTGCAGATGAGTCTTACTGCTCTATCTTGTTTCTCTGGCAAGTGCTTGTGTTGGGTATCTAGCTAGTAAGTCGGCAGCAAAATCTATGGATGTGAGAGAAACCCAGTCCTCACCTAAGCAGTCATCTATATTCAGTAGAATTTTAACTGCTGGCATAGAGATTTGCTTTAAAAAAACCAAAGAACATAAAATGCTTTCTTTAGTTGTAAAAGCTTGATGTGATGGGCAAGCTGCTTTTCTGTCCTAGAGGCATATTTCACTTGTTTTTTTTTTCCTTTGGATTAATTTACCTGTCTGCATATTTAAATGACAAACTGCACAATCTTGTCTGAAGACAGCAGTTACACCACATAGGCCTGATTATTTCATATGCATGACTGCTACTGTTGGATTTGTGCCATTTATTACAGTAGGTGATTGCCTCAGCATCTTTCAGCATTTCTTTCATATAGTATTTTTAAATGGCTTTGTCAAAGTCCCATCTGTCTCGACAGGTGAAAATGCATAGCTTATTGAAACAGATGGCAAATCAGATTAATGTTGCCCAGAACCATCATTTGCTTGCTTGAATGTTCATAAGGTAATGTCCACTGGATTAGTTGTCTTTGCTTGGAAAGCAGAACAAAGTTAAGAGATTTTTTTTACCTTTTTTTTTTTTCTGAAGAGCCTCTTTTGTAGTGTTTTGAATGTGTAAGCTAAGCAAAATTACCTCTTCCAATTTTTTTTTTTTATTCTGTCAGTTGAACACTATTCATAATTGTGATACCAACTTCTATTTGTGTAAAACAGGTTATTAATAGAGTTGTTCAAACTTCCCTTGGGTCTCTGGGCCCTGTTGTATGTTGTGTTCCTGATCTTCCTTAAATATGACTGATATTTTGTGTGGTTGTGAACTGTAAAATGATGAAACAACTGTTTGCTCCTCTTTGGTTATCGGTGTAAGTGAATGTTACAGTCTGCATTTGGCAAGAACTTTGAAAGATGTTAAGAGATGCTGTATGAGTGTATGTTGTTCCCTCTAGAAAAGCTTCTAGCATCTGCTTAAGCTGAACTTTTGCAGGAGGTACAAAACTTAACAGAACTCTGAGAGATTATGATGTGCAGATTTTTATCGTAGAATGTCCCTGCTCACCCTGCCTTTACCAAAATTTCTTTCCTGTTCATTTTCTGCTGGAGGCTGTTCACCTGCTGGAGGTTTCCAAGTAGAGACGTTTTTGGAAATCCTCTTGGGGCTGTCAAAAAGTGATGCTTCTTGGGATGGGCAGCTCATACTGGAAGTTGTGTTTCATAAATCTGTATGTTTCCTGGCTATTTATTTAAGACTAGAAGAGTTTGTTCAGTTTACCCTTACCTATACATCAGTCATTCTGTAGAAAATTCACATGCATCTCATCCTTTTACATAGTTGGGATGGCCTCTGTGTGAGTTGAGGAACATTGGTCTCATGACATCAGATACCTGTTAGATTTGCATCTAACATCCCTGTTTCTTGGTATTGAGAACTGTTTTTCACTGGGTTTATACATTTCTATTAACTTGGCCTGTCGTATTACAGGTAGCTATGTTTCCAGAGTTTATTTTTATGTGTGTGTATACATACATAAATAAAAAATAATTGAATCTGAACCTTTTAAATACTTTCTGTCTTTACGTCTCTAATTAATTAATAAAACTGCCTAACTACAGCTTTATCTAACATAAAAAAGCAGTTAGTATCTGCAGTGAACTGGCAAGCCTAATTTTCGTGCTCTGAAAACCTTGGAGAACATCCTAGTTCACTTAAGGTCTTTGAATGTATTCAACTTCCCTGTTGTTTTAAGATCATCATCATCAAAATACTATATTTCCTTCAGTTAAATAAACAAGAGCTGGTAATGCTTGTAATTTAATTTTTTTTTCTTTAATAGGACTGTTCTAGCAATGTTTTGTTCCATGGAATTTTTAGAAGTGCAACTTATTTCCAGCTTGGCTCCTAAAATCTTTTTATTGTTAATAAATTAAAAAAAAAAAAATCAAACCTTTTTAAAAATGGTGCATTCTTGTTCACCATTCTTGCTTTTCAGACGGGTTTCTGATGTTTTTTCAGTTTACTCTTACTACGCACTGCCCACTTAATACACCTATCTGTTAGAGACGATGTATGAAAGGCACTCTCAGATGAATTTTGTGTCTTTGAGAATCAGTGATTACAGAAATTTTTAATGCATTGCTTTTCTGTTCTGTTTGCCTCGGGGACATCAGATGCTGTGAGACTCGAGACTGCTTACATCATTTTGTGTACATAACTATGGGGTTTTACTTTGCTGTGCCAGTGGTAATAAATACAACACAGTGAATGAAAATAGTTTTATTTGATTAAACCGATGTACTTCCAACCGATGTGAATCTTTGGACTGTGACTTTGTGTTAGGAGCAGAAAGGAGGGTTCCAGTTCCAGTGTTTTCGGTGTTTGCTGCCCCATTTGAGTCCCTCTCAACTTAAAATTGGGCAAAATATTTTTAGTGCTCTGTGTGCTGTCTCCATATTTCAAGCCATGGACTTGACTGAAATAGCCACCTTCATGCTTTCACTCCTCTTCACAGACAAATAAGGACATTCTGTTAGCATCTCCCCCACCCCGAGCAGTTTACACACGTGCGTGCAGGCTGCACAACGTGCTCCTTCACCGTGCCTCCGGCTGGAGATGTGTGGGGGGATCTCCAGAGTTTCTGTGGGTAGAAGAAAAGTTCCAAATCGGGCAGCTCTGGCTGAGTCAGAGGCAGGACGGGTGCTGCGCCGGAGGCCATTGGTACCTTCCTTCCTGAGGTGGCAAAACACTTGGAACAAGGAGGGTGGAAAATTAAGACAGTCGTGGCCTTTCCAGTGTTTTTTAATCCTTTTAGTTTAGCAGCAATAAATTCTGCTTTAGTACTGGAAGCAATATCCAGTACAACACAGAACTTCTTTCTGTCAGATTTTCTTCTTAAACTGCAAACTCACTGTTGGTTTGGGTTTTTTTTTCCCAGTTCTAGGAGTTTGCATAAATCTGTGGGGTAAACCGAGCAATTGTAGGGATGCATCATTGTTTCTACAATATGGGAAGAGAGGATGCAGTCACCTAGCTTGTGTCAGTGTTACATTTGAGATAGTGATTGCTGTAACAAAATACGTTTTTCTGGGGTTTCTTAATTGACTGTAAAACGATTTAAAACCTGTCTATAAGAAGTTAAGTACAGAAAAAGAGAAATCACTCAACTCTTCTGAGGATCATGTTTGTCACCTTAATCTTGCACATCCATGTTTTTTAATGAAATGTTCTCTCTGTGGTGCTGTATTTTAGGCTGGCCTTTTCCCAGCAATGCTACACAGAAACTTGATTTTAATATGTGGTAGCGAGGGGGAAGGGGCACGTGTTATCCAGGTCTTTCTCTTACAGATGGTGTGTATTCTGTTTCCCATAAGCATCGCTTAATTCTCATCCAACTGGCATTACTATAGAAAGAACTCGCCTCCTTAACCACTGTGAAACCACTGGTAAACTAGCTCTGAAACAGTGTTTTGAGATGTTATTACCTGGAACCAAGTCTCAGCTTTTATTGTTAATTATGTTTTTTGAAAGGGTGGGCAGGACTGACCAGGATTCAAAAGCAATACAACTAGGTAGTTCCTTCTTTATTACTCCTCTCCGAACTGTCCTGGGCACCTGGTGCACATCAGGCTCAGTTAACATTCATTAGCCATGAATCATGGAGCCCATTCCCCTCTTTCTGACTTCTCGGTGCCTTATGTGTTCTCCTGAGCTCTTGCAGACAGGAAATGCTGCTCCAGAGGACACTACGTGCATTTTCTCCAAAGACTCTCATCAGATATACCAAATCTATGTAGTAGCAAAAAGTGGCAACATCCTAAAATAAGACACTGGAAGGGCAAATTTGTTAAGGTTTGTAATATGGCGATCATTGATTTAGTAATCTAAAATAATACTTAGTGCTTGTTACTTTTTTTAACTGCCTTTTTTTTTTTTTCTTTTGGCTTTCAGCTCAGATCGACTGATAGAAGAAACAATAAGGTAGGAATGAATTTACTAATTTTCATTATTTTCTGTACAATCAGTGTTTAGACTGAATTGTGTCTAAAGATATCAGTCACTTTATACAATAACTATTGTTCACAGCTCATAGGCAGTATTACAATAAACTGGTGGTTGGGTTTATTTTTTTTTCCTATTTAATATTGACATAATGGTGTTACTTCAATATTTTATTCATCCTAGTTTAGAAAATCTGTGTTTCCGTTCAAAGGTGAATAGCCCCTACAAAAACAAAGGAAATGATCGAGCAGAGTGAATCTCAGGTTGAGCTGTTGAGGGCTATTCTAGTAGTCATGTTGTTTCTTCTCACAGTGACACTCTTCTACAACATGATTTTCTGTAATCCTTCAGTGTATTCTGCACCCTAGTGTACAGCTGATATAGGTAAGGGTTTTTACCACAAGGGCTTGAGAGGTTATTGCTGTTGTATAGTTATTTATCTTTTGGGGTTTTTTTATGTGGTTTAAATACTTGAGCAATACCTTCTCTAACTGATCTAGAAATTTTAGAACCATAGCATCATAAATTACTTTTATCATCTGTGCCCTTCCTAATCTTCCATTGAACTCTGGGATTTTGCAAACCAATAATTCAGAGTGCCTGACTTAATGGTTTTAAATTTTAGATTATTGCTTTAAAAAAAAAAAAAAAAAAAGGAAGAAAGCAAGATATGCTTTCAGATAATGCATATACTGGCATAAGTGATCAAGAAGAGTAATTATAAGTGCAGCAAGGCTCTATGTCCATTAAGGGCTGGCTAGCTTATGTACATTCAGTGGGCTCGGTATAATTAACATGGTGGAAGAACGTGTTAAACCACGTTAATGTGCAGTGGTGAAACAGAAGTGGTCAGTCCAATAATGTCTGAAAATGTGGCTGTAATCTCACCACAGCCTCATAAAAGTATTTGCCAAACTTGGCACAGTTATTGAGAATATTTGGTATCCTTTGGGTTCTAGTCCTTTCCTGATTAAAAATCCTCTCCTTTATTGCCGTGCTTGTAGTGCTACTTTTCTGTCTTATAAAAGTGCTCAACATTTGTTCAATCTCTTACTTGCTGCCACTCCAGTAACTAGAGCATTAAACGGCATACGGTGATTTATTAAGCTTAATATCCTGCAGCATGACTCGCATCTTATCACTTGAGCTCTTTGCCTGGCTTCTTGGTTGTATGTCAGCAGAGAAGCTGAGAGTGTGTGTATGTGTGATACGAACCTCCGTGTCGATTAACCAGTGCAAGAGAATGCAGCTGTAACAAACTGGAGCTCAGGAACCGGGCAGCCACCTGAATCACCCACCAGGTTCCTCCCTCAGTCCTGAGCCTACTCAGAAGCTCCATGGTGCCATCAGTAGGTGTTCCTAGCTGGTTTAAAAGTGCTTGGAGTTTCATTTGCATCAGCTGCAGTCCTGTAGTCGACTACAGATGGGCTATCTCCACAGTGACTGCTTCTCACCCAGCAGACCCCACCACACACTGCTCAGAGCCGCTTGGTGCTGTTTACTGGAAGTGCTCCTTCTGTTAATAAATGAACTTTGATTATTTTTTTTTTTAAGAGGCTACACTCCTCGTTGCACCATTTATTATCTGTAGTAAATGAACCTCTTGTTGTGGTTGTTGCCAAAAACGTTCTGTGTTTCTTTTTGTAGAAAAAGAGCTTGTTCAGTAACTACATTGAGCAGGAAATGTAGGAAATGTAATTTCATTTATGTCATCCTAATTCAATTCCGACTCTGGAACCAGGGTGAATCTTTTGTTTTACTCTTTCTTGTCATCCCCAGTAATTGCAAGTATTCAGGTATGTTATTAATTGGTGGTAAACCCTGCTGCATTTTAAGTGATTTTTACTGGACGGAAATGTACTCAGCTTCTGATTACCAATTGCTTTATCTGTTGTAAACCAAGTAAAAAAGGAAATTGTGCAGGGGAAGCTGTTCAAATGCAGATTCCTTGAGTGAAGTCAGATGTAATTAGCTTATTCTGGCTACTAATACTGCTCTGTCTTCAAGGTTTACATATGCTGTAGCTCATTACTCATTATTTGGGTGTAATTCAGGAAGTCAAGAAATCACTTTTATATTTTTAGGGGTTGCTATTAAGCAGCGATTCTAAACCCTGGAAAGCATTTTCCTGTGTGTGCAAGAGGCTGCATACCACTGACCCCACTGCCAGGGACACTACAGCTAGTGCGAATTGTGAAACCCTTGCTCTAACTTTCTGTAGCAAAGAGAACCGAGGAAGTGCAGAGCCTGAGTCTCCCTCCGTGTGGTTCCTCCACGGGAGCAAACATACGTGCAAGAGGATTTATGGGTACCTAAGCTGAAATGATTCAGTAACTAAAGTGATGAGCAGGGCTGTCGTTCCAGATGTTTTGTTAGTACTAAACTTTTAATCAGTTTTAAAATGATTTACGTGACACGGGTTCTTACTGCAGCATATTTCTTTCCAGAAACGAGTGGGATGTGATGCTGCAGTTCTTTTAGAACAGTGTTCACTTCTCTCGGCCATATTTAAATATAAGCATAGATTTTGCTTAATATGTTTGATGTTCTCAGGTTTTCATTTCAAACATTAGCACTTTTCCAAAATAGCAAATGATTTATTTTTTGTTTTCCAACAACTTACATTTTTAGGTTGGCTCAGTTTGAATTCTTTTATAGTTTTGCATGTACAGTGTGACAGGTTCTTATTGTGTTACTGCTTCTGAGGCCTGATTCAGGCTGATTTGTCAGTGTTTGTATATTCACAGATTGGACTATTTCACTATGAAGCCATAGATTTAATTTTTTTTTTTTTAATCATCTCCTTATGTAGCTTGGGTATTTCTTTAGATAATAATTAGGATTTAATAAAAGGGAAAGGTTCGGTTGCATTGAATCTTGACTTTTTGGAATGGAAAGGCATGAATTAGATTTTGAGCCTTAGCTCTTTTCAGAAGAGCCTTGCCAGAGTGTCTAGGCAAAATCACTTGCATTTCTGGGGGAATGTTCCTTTTGTTTTCATCTTAGGCTTCATCAAAAGACGCGATAGTCTTTAAAGTAATTTGAAAGATTGTGTGTGTACGTATGTATGCATATTATACACATACGAATATATATGTATAGATACGAATATATATGTATGTATATGCAAAAAATGAGCAATATAATCAGAATTTTTACCAGTTAATAACTAGAGATTGCATTTCTATGCAGAGTCACAGAGTCCATTCCCTTAATCACAGACATTGTCATGAATTTAAATGAGCAGGTATGATTCATGGAGTACAAAATGAAGGATAAGTTCGAGTAATACATCAATTATTTGATTTTTCAAAACATGTCTTGTTCCTTTAAAGCTTTGGTTTAGTTCTTCATCAATGTAGATTTGACTGAGCTGTGGCAATGGATGAAGCAAGGAATTGACTTTTTGGTACGTTTCACTTGATAATCCGCTGCTATGTGGGGTGAAAATACCCAGTGGCTTAAATATCTGTCTAGGTAAAAACACTTTGCTTCCAAGTCAAGCAGCATTAAAAGTGTATCTCTGCATGTTAGATTAGTTTGACTGTGGTAATAGCTGGAAGTGTTTATTACTCTGCCCTTTTTCATGCCAGTGAAAACTGCAAACTGTGTACAAATATCAGTTATTTTGCTTCTGAAGTGAAATTTGGCTGCTTGAATACCCACAGTCCTACTGAACATTGAAGGACAAACTTGAAATGTAAGTGAAATTTTGAGAAAGTACGTCTGCAAACACAGGAATTTGGGATACTCCTGCTGATTTGTGGGAGAGATGGGTGGGCTCTTTGTGGCTGTGACCTCAGGCTTACCTAGATTTCCTCAGTAGTGCAGCAGTCTTTAATGTTGTACTTCAGCAGTGCTTTAATATTAAATAGAGAGAGCAGAATACCATCTGGTTTTAGAAACTTGGTTTACACCCAACTATAGTAGTTCAAGCCAGTGCAGCACCGAGAATAGTTCATGCTAGTTTCCAAATGAAACGTTAAATCAGGGTCATCTTGATTCCAGTAAGATGCATTAATCTTTTATTGTAAATGTTGTGTAGAAGTTTTAAAACCTAAGAATACGGTATGCTTGATCTGGGGGGATTATGGTGGTGACTAACTAAATGGGGCCAATATTGGGAATGGGAAGAATATGATTAATTTTTTTTTTAAATGCATTTGTCAGTGAAGAAATGGCAACAGTAAGCCAATAAGCATATGTTAGGGATGGGAATGAAACCAAAACTGTCTAATGAAGGATATGAGGAAGCTGCAGTACTAAATATTGTACAAGACAAATCAGTGGATTAGTCCTCAGGAGTTGCGTGTTTTCTGGTAGTTCTTAAATTTAATAGTCTCATTTACAGATACGAAGGCTTAGGTAAACCAGCTCATGTTCTGAGTAATCAAATTATGCATGAGTAACAGTGGGCTTTTTTACTTGAATTTTGACTTGTTAATGGTAGCTAGAATCCAGTTAAACTCTTGTTCATGGATATCAGAATTACATTTCATTACTAGACCATATCATATTCACAACAATTTTTTTTTTTCTTTGGAGCTCTTCAGTAAAACTTAGCCCATTGAGCTAAATTTTTCTAAATATTGGATAAAAGAAAGGAAGAAGGTTTCAGTCTTGTAATATGTAAACTTAAACAGTTACATTCTGCCTTTTTATATGAAATGGACAGTGTCAGTCCTCAGATGTTAAAGCAGGAACCTTGTGTTCCACGATAATCTGCAATAATTATTTCTAAAGGCATTTTGGAGGTGTCTCAGGAACACTTTATATCCTGGCAGTCAGTCATTTTGTATTTTCACATCTGTAAATTAATGGATGCCTTAATGAGTCATTGGATGCATCTTATGAAAACATGTGGCTTAATTCAGAAGTGCTTTGAGAAATGCTGTATTAAACTTTATCTGGACAAGTATCAAGTCAGTGGGGGGGTGTAAGATAAGAAGCTGTAGGTTACTGAGGAATCTTTCCTGTGTACGGCTAGGAGATGGGGTTTTTTCCAACTTGGTTCTTAGTACTTCAAAATTTCCTGAATGCTCTTCTAAATAGCAAATGCAATGTTATTGCAAGTTTGTGACTTTTTACTTTAGAGAACTAAAATACCTGTGTGCTGAGTTGTAAATGTATATAATCTGCCAAATGCTGTATCTTCACGCATGTGATAGGATTTGATGTACTTAACTGTTCTGATTTTGTAGCCCCTTTTTCAGCCCTTGATGGTGACTGCTTTTTTCTATATTAATATACAGCTGTTTATTCTTCGTTCAGAATTTCTGTTAACACCTTCTCTTAGATGCTTTCCTTTGTATACTCATGCACTGTTGGGTAGGCAATGATTTGATTCTTCATTTCTCATCTAATCTAATTTTAACTTTTCTCCTAATTTTAGTCCTGAAAAGGCTGTGTCGTATAATCAAATAAATCAGTTGCATTTATGGGTTAGATGCGTTGGTATATCCCCAGGAACAAGCATACACAGTGTGCTGAGGTTCAGTACTAGACAGTCTAGGAGGAGAGGCTTTGTAGACTTTCTTCATTGTTTTTGCAGAAATTAAGAGCTTTGGTTAACTGGTGGTAGCAACTCCTTTAGAGACACCAAGGAGGTGACTGCAAGCCCAGTTGCTTCCAATTAACTATGAGTTTCATTTTCACTTTGTGCTGATTTGGCACTTCAAAAGTATAAAAGAAACTATGCTAGATAGCTGTCCGTAAATAAAAAAAAAAAATGCTTGAAGGTTTTTCATAGTTCTGCCCTGAAACTTCCATTGTTTCGTTGGTTTGTTTGTTTCTTTAAACCTAATACTTTAAAACTTAGGAACAGATTTAGCATTCTAATCATAGAACTGCTGATTGAAAATGTCAGGGTTTTGCCTACATATTATCAAACTGTTTATATTCTCTTTATGACTGACAAACTCTGGATTTCCTAATGTGTGTCCAAGTTTACCAGAATGCTGATATAACCTTAAAATAATATATTGATCTGCCCTGTCAATGCATGTTGTTCTATTTAAAAGAATTTACTGTATAGAACTTTTGGGAGAGTATTTTCTGTGACCTGAAAGCTGTGGGAGCCGTAGGCTGGCCCTTCTGTCACCTGGGTCTCACATATGTTTGTGTGATGAACTTGTCTTGCTTTCCAAGGTATTCTGCTGCTGCTAAAAAAAAAATCTTACCACTTACAACACTCGGGCTTTAGCGTGGTGATCTTTTAGTTTTTATGGGCAAAAACAGAGTTGGAAAAGGCAGCCTTCACCTGAAGAGGTGGTAGCAGATTTTTTCTTTTTCTTTTTTTTTCTTTTTTCCCCATAAATTTTGCCTGGCACATTTTTAGGAAGGCTGAAGGGCTCCTTGAAATGGAGTAGGCAGATATAATGGAAGCAAGCCCGAAGGAACTCGCTGCTCCAGAAATGCTTTAGGGATCATTGATCTGGCCTGTTTTCTTCTTTTAAGACATTTGTGAACGGTGGCACTGACCTTTCGCTGTGAATCCTGAAGGACAGTTGTTAGGCTTGGCTCTGCTGGGTTTGGTCAGCTGTTCTTGTGATACTGGCTGTGGTGTCCTAGTGGAGAAGCCCGTGGTACATCGAATGATCCAGAGCTGCTCGTTCCAAATATTGTTTTGTTCAGAGAGAAACTTGAAATAAAATGTCTAATGGTCTTTGTTATAAAAATATCAGGAATGCCAGTTCTTTGTTTAGTGAGTGTACAGATTGGTGTGTGTGACTTTTTGTACCAGTTTTACATGATACATTAGGGTGTTTAAAGGTGCTTTTTTTTTTTTTTTTTTTTTTTTATTAATCACCTTCCAGTACTAAAATGCTAAATCAACCTAAGTCTTTAGTACTAGTATCTGGACAACTGATGTTTCAACATTTTAGCTGCTATGGAAATATAAGCCCAAATCCTTGAAACCCAGATAAATTCAGTACAGAACAGTGCTTGAGGACCTGATGTATTGAACACGTATATTCAGTTTAGTAAATACTAAGGCTTTATGTAAAATGCATTGTCCAGTTTATACTGCAGAAATTGAGAATAATGTTGAGCTTGGACTCTTGTGTTTTGGTGCTTTGTACCTGCCTCTCCTTAGAAGTAATGCTCAGGTTAGCTGTGATGTTTGTATCGTGTTTGCATACAAACACTGAGTGTGAGCAAGCATTAAATGCTCTTGAAAATTTGGATGTCTGTATTGGGTGAAAAACATTTTGCATTTTCCTGTCTGTTTGTTCTCTTCTGAAATCACAGCTTTAGTTCCCTTTTCACATATTTATAGCTGTTGTATTGTCTTGTTCCACTTAACTTTTATTCTTCCAGAACATTCTTTCTCCATATTTAAGGCTGATAAACTTGTCCAAGAACTCGTTTTAATCATTCTTATTCATGTAGGTACAGTCAACAGCAATATAGGTGACATTTTCTGAGTTATTATGCAGCCATGTTGTATTTGTGTCCTACTTTGTTTTATTTTTGAAATGCATGCCAGCCAAGGAGAGCAGTATTTGTCATACTGTTCCTTCTTAAGCACTGTATCTCAAAAGCCTAAACTTTTATGTGCTGTTTCTCTAGATGTGAGTCTGTGCGGTGTGTCAAAGTAGCTACAAGAAATACTACCTGGGGCTACAAGCAGTAGCCTACCCTTTCATTTTCCTATAACTCTTTGTTTTACGAGCTGAAGAGAAACTTAACGTAGCGAAAAATACTTGTCAGCTGAGTAGTTCTTTAAATCTTCATTTAAATGTCTTATTTTTAAGAGCACAGTTGCTTTTTTTCCAACTTTCAGAATGTATTATATTTGAAATGGGAAGTTGTTTTATATTCACCTATATTGTGTTCTTATATTTGGATAAAGTACGTACAGCTGGACCATGTATTAGTAAAGAAATGGAGTATGAAAACTTACATACCCATGGATGATATTCTTAGGACCAAAGCTCAATATCTGTGCTGTTGTGGTGGAAGCATCATTTGATATGATTGCATTATACACCAGCTCCCTCAATTCCAGCTTATGGAAAACAGTCAGATCAGGCTTGCTGGGGAGAGATGTTAATGCAGGAGAATCCAGGCTTTGCCCACTAATCTGGAGTCAGGTGACAGTATTAATCTTGAGTCAAAGCAAGCAGATCCCAACTCTTCATTGTGCTTAAATGTCTTCAAAGACCTGGTGACTCTTTATCCCAGCCTGATTGTCCAGAAACCTCCTGTGTGAAGCTCCATGACCTGTGTCAGGTCTCAAACTGCACTTGCATCTCCTCTCAACCAGCATGTTCGCTTTGCAAATTGATTTTTAATTGTGAGTCAGCTCTTATTTGCTTCATACTTCTGTAACCATCGTATCCGGATGGCAGAGAAGAAATTTCACATGCTCTCTAGAGTCAAAGTAAGTATGGGGCTTCTGTGGTGAAGCAAACTCCTAAATTTAAAACTTATGCCAAAAGATACCCTTAGGTTTGCTTGTAACATAGTACTATTTTTTGTTGGGGCTGGGAGAGATATGCCAAAATCCTGCCTGTTTCAAGAAATCGCAGTGTTTTCAGTTGTTAATGGCTTATAGAAAAAGAGAAATCGTTTAAGTGTACAGGATAGAGATTAATGGAAAAAAAAAGTGATTTCATTCATGTTACTTCACCTCATTCATTGTTCTCTAAAGAAGCGTTGCCTGCTTGCTTTCCTCTTGTTTTAGCTGTAGATTATTCTTAGCACCAACAACTTGATCCGCTCTTTTTCTTTCTTCAGCATCGCCATGGCAACTAAAGAAAATATGACTTCTCAAAGAGGGATGTTGAAGTCGATACAAAGCAAGATGAATACCTTGGCGAGTATCCTTTCCTAAAAATTTGTGCTGCCAGTGCATAACAAGAGGTATAGTACAATTTTTCACTCTGTCACTTGGGGATCGGAATGTTTTGAAGTGTCAGTGGTTGCATGACCTGTAGTGGTATTGTCATTAGTGACAAATAGACCTTTTATTTTTATTTTTTTTTTAGCAGTCTCACTTGATAATCTCGCTTATGCATCTTAATGATGAATGTGGTGCATAAGTTGTTTTTACTCAAATTTGAACTGCATATAAATCGATGGAGCTTAATTTTCAGGTAAGAGATCTGCAATGGGATTTTATGGCCTTTACTGCTATATGATTTTGTAGAAGCATAATTTCATTTTACTTTTTTGCTTTCAAGACAGTCTAGAACTGAAGCTTGGCATACATTGCTGCTTGTTATGGTTTACAGCTAAGAGTATTAATGACCTGAGTGTCCTCTTGTCTGTCACAGTTTTGTAGATATTAGGATTTTGGCTTGTTGGTGTCTCTTCATATTCCGTGCTCGTGGATAAAGAATGTGCCAGATTGTCAATTTGTGCATGTTTATTGTTTTCCCACTATTCCTTTCTTTCTGTCATAAGGGCCCAAAGAACAACATTAGCATCATTTGATTAGACAGATTACATCCTGAAGAGATGTATCTTGGTAACCCATAAATTTCATTACAGTTCTTAGCAACTGACAAGAACAAAAAAAAAAAAAAAATCCAATAAGCTTTGGCCTTAAAAGATTCTTGGTTCCAAAGACATGAAGCTCTGAAACTTATTATCTTGTTGGCAATTGTATTTTGTACATTAAAAGATAGATTTACATCTTTATGATATTACATTAGGAGGAGTTCTTCCTTATGTGCTGCACTTGAACAGTGCATAGTCATGCTACATGCATGATTTTCTCAGTCAAATGCCTTTGGTTGTTCCCTTCACCAGTAATAGAATTCCATTAAATAAATTCCACAGATGTTTTATGTAACTGCTCCATTTATTTTTTTTTTTTTTAATTCTTGTTTAAGTACAGTTATTAAAAGTAAGTAAGCCTCATGTATTGGAGAACAAAGTATATCAAGTGCTGGTAATTTAGGTGATAAGGTGATGAATTCTGTGTAAATGTGAACTCTGAGCTGTTCTCTCTTGGGTTGTCTGTTATTAGTGAGGTACAATTGTAATCCTGCTAACTAACTATCCATCAGGGGTTTTTTACTGCATCTTCTTTCTCCAGCTTGAGAGTAGGTCTGCATTTCTTGCAGTAATGAGACTTCCACATACAGACTTTGAGGCATGTTAGTGAAAATACTGTTTGCTGATACGACCTTGACTCAAACCCCTTCAAGATCGGTTTCCAGCAGTGAACAGCCTGATTCAAAGGATCAACCTTCGGAAACGACGAGATTCCCTCATCTTGGGTGGCATTATTGGCATCTGTACCATCTTACTGCTGCTATATGCTTTTCATTGATGGATGTTCCCCTCTGGACTCTGCTAAACTCATCACCACCATCCCTGCCCCCCCCC